CTTGGTAATACTTAGAGAATAAAAGGTCAAACCTTAACCCGCGCACCGACGGGGGTCTGCGCCAACTTAGAACCGACGGGGGAGGGCGGATGACCGCCTCCCCCCCTCTGAGATCTCGAGAACGAAGCAAGATAGCGACAAGCGGTAAACGGCATGGGGTACGCACGGACAAGGTCTACAATTTTTACAAAGGTCATTTTCAGGTCAGGTCAAAAATGACGTCACAGGGGTTAAAAATTCAAAATGGCGGCGCTAGATATGGAGTTTTTTTCGAATAAGTTTCGAATTGGTCAAGCTAGGAACAAACTAAGGGTGCACCATCGTGATCCTCTCGTCAATCCGCATCGAACCCTATATGTATATGTTGACCTCGAAAGGTCAAGGTCAAAGGTTGACCTCAGGTCACGTGACCTTAAGGTCATCATGTATATCATTCGATGCGCCTTGACGAGCTGAACACAATGAGACCATCCGCGCGGCTGTATCTTGTTCACGTCACATGACCTTACAGCTGCCCAACAGCAAAACAGGCCTCAAGGTAGTGAAGGTTGATCGTAGGTAGGTAGGTATATGAAGTAATGTATGGTATATGGGGCGATTCTGACGCGTTTTAGTGAAAAAAAAACAGGGAGTTGATTTTTCCCCCATTGACTTATTATAATAGGGAGGTCGAGAAATTCGATATCAAAATTCCGAGATATAAAAAAAATGTAGCTAGCAATGCCACATAATAACATCCTCCGACTTTCAAATGACTCCGCCATCTACTGTAGCTCTGACACGGTGACAAATTTGTTAAAAAGTGACTTGAGGCTGGGTCATTCAAAGTGACCTGGTGACCTGACCTTAAAAGTTTGGAGATTCAAACTTTTGCACACCATATGTAAAATTGATGTGAGAATAGTGGTACCAAATTTCGCGTCGCGGTTTTCCCGCTATTTGCGAAAACCTCAGGGGGGGGGCGGATAACCGCCCCCCCCCCCGTCGCGTCGATGCGCGGGTTAAACCAAAACCAAAACCAAAACCAAAATCATTGCCAATGCCGTGACCCGGATTCGAACCGGGGTTACTGCGGCCACAACGCAGGGTCCTAACCACTAGACTATCACGGCTCGTGCAGGTGTTTCACGGCACGTGGAAGCCCCGTGGTGCGTGACCTGGTTTTCGGCACCACGCCTGACCGGCCCCGCCCCGCCCGCCGCGGGTGACGTCATCTGTCTGGTCAGTCTATAGGTGTGACGTCACACAGTGAGAGCACACAGCTGCTGTTTCCCAGCGTCATGGTATGGAGAGACGTTCAAATGTGCGATGGTTACCTTGCGAACATGCATGTGCTTCGACTGTTCGAGGCTCAACGGAGACAGCCTGGGTGAAGAGTTTGCACTTTACGGTATTTGGTTTTGTACTCCTATCATCGTCCATCGATGTTGTGTGCACAGTGCACAAATGGCAAAATCAAATACCTACGTTCATTGCCTGCAAACATTAAACAGTTCACCTACTTTTCATCGTTGAATGAAAATTATGAATATTTTTGCTAAAAGGAACCGGTTGGCTCACTAGGCGTCTCTAAGTTGCCTTCACGCCTGTGCGCATTGCAGTCACAGGCAGGCGTGTAAGCATGCAGTTGCTGAACTCAGTATCCTCTAGACTCTATTACCGGCCGGCCTCCCCACATTTTATACACAGTGCTCATCCGCCCCACCTCGCTCCACATAACTCCGCCCGTTCAAACTCCGCTCTCTCCGTCCATCCTGCGCTCTTTCCGTCCATCTCCTCTCTCTCCACTCATCTCTCGCTCTCTCCTCCCATCCCCGGCGCTCTCTGCACCATCTCCTCTCTCTGTTCCTCCCACGCTCTCTCCGCTCCAGCAGCCGCTGCGTCGTTTTTGCGCGTCGCCTTCGACGGCCACTCGTCGGGGCCGACGCGGCCTGAACTCACAGACGGCCGGCGGCGGCGGCGGCTCGACAGTTTTTAGCGCGGCGCCGCTTGATACCTGTGACGTCATACGAGACCGCGAGCACCGTGCCATGAATGGCGCCTGTTCGGGTCGCCGGGACCGCAACGGTGAGTAGGGCGCTAGCACCCGGCGACTACGGCCGGCCGCACCTGGATGATAGAGTTGTTTTTGTTGTCCGGATGGGTTGGGATAAATAATGTAAAGCGGATAAATCTGATATATTTATCAAATTTAATTTTCATTGTTATTGATAAATTTGATAGTACGGGCGAATGCATTACCTACTGGGCATCGTTAGATGTAGGCAGGGCATTATTTTGGCATTTTGACAAGCCAAAGATGATGGCATTATGAGAATGGATTTGGTTGGTAGATAATTCAAAATTAATTATAAGAACCTTATTACGAGCGAGCGAGCGCAGCGAGCGAAGTGTGTCTTTTCAATATAACGGAAAAATCTCAGTATGAGCGGCCCGGCCCGGCCCGGCCCGGCCCGGCCCGGCCCGGCTTGTAACGCTTTTGAGAGGCTTATATCTCAGCAACCGCTGGACCGATTGACCTGCGGTCTTTTTTGCTGGGTAGCCCCATCCCTTCTACCCCGTAATTGACTACTTTTGATACGCCTCAAAGACCGTCGTGGCACGTGCCACGTGAAAAGTCAAGGGTGTTCAAGCTGTTTTGCAAAAGAAGTGATTTTGAGAGGCTCATATCTCAGCAGCCGCTTGGGTGATTGACTTGCGGTAATTTTTGTAGGGTAGCAGCATCCTTTCTACCAAAAATAGGATACTCTCGATGCATGTGGGTCACCCCCAGTGCACGTGCAAAATACAACAATAAGAGGTGTCAAATTTGTTCCCATTTTAATAACTCGGTAATTACTGGGGCGATTTCGCTGAAACTTGGCATACAGGTAGGCACCCACCAGGCAATGCATTCCCATGTGTTGCGGTCAGGGTGCTACTGCACGTGCGCACGTGCAGGGGGCGTTTCCAGATCTCGAGAACAGCTGGGCCGATTGCGCTCAAATTTGGTACACGGTTGGGGACCGGTTAGTAGCGTGCCGTGCAAAAGTCATTTTGGACCCCGTTTGCACGTGCGCACGTGCAGAATGCCGCTTCCAGATCTCAGGAACGGCTGGGCCGATTGCGCTCAAATTTGGTACACCGCTAGCGACCGGTTAGAAGGGTGCTTTGCACAAGCCCGTTGGAAGTACCCTCTCGCCCTTCTGCACGTGCAGGGCTCACTATCTCGCTCGCTCGTTCTTCGCCCAAAAGGCGTTTTACTGGTAGGTATGATGCCTTCCTAATCCACAGTAATGTTGATGCTCAGATCGGCCACTTTCCTAAATTAGTGTACTTCATGGGTCCGTACGTTTTAACCCTCGCATGTGTGCGGCGTTTGCCAGCTTCTAATGTGTAGGGGGGGGGGGTCGGTTGGACCCCCCTTGCCGTTTGGCCCCTGATCGAGCTAGAGCTTCGCGGAAAAATGAGCGTGTTGCCCGTGACGAGAGGAAGCCGATGATACCCAATTTTAAGGTCCTAGGTCATTGGTTGACCTTCCAGGTCAGGTCAATTACCCACAGCCGGGAAAATCGGGACCTGTTAGAAAGTCGTAAAGTGTGGCTGCTAAGGGGTTTTTCGGGGTGCTGATCACGAATATCGTGTTAGTTTTGATCACAGATGATGTCTTGAAGCATTTAGACCAGGTCGGGTCAGGTCAGGTCAGGTCAACCAGTAGGCGTCGTGACGGGTATTCGTAGTACGTGTCAACCGCCTCTGACAGCTTCGTAACATGTTACGAAGTCACCAAAACTACTTCGTAAATGTTCAAATGGTTGCTAAATTCGAATTCAGCTCCAAAAACTAGCCTAGAAACATGTAAAACTCGAAAAAGTGACCCGAGGTCACCCGAGGTCACCAAAGGTCAATGACCTGACCTGACCTTCAGGTGACCTTGACACACACGGGAGTAACATCAAATCACATGTTTGAACGTTTGAAACCACGAAAAGCTTACAAACACGCGGCTAGTGCGAGCCGACATACGCGAAATCGCGATTCCGGCCAAACATGGTCTCGGAAAAGAGGTCACAGGTCAAAGGTCATTTGGGTCAGGGTCATGAAATTTTCAGGGTAGGTGTAAAATTGATCAATGCGAGGGTACTGAAAGTTTCGTCGCGATCGGCCGCTTTTTACGCGAGTTATTCGCGAAAAACCATGGGGGGGGGTCCATCCGACCCCCCCTACACATGCGAGGGTTAAACTGTCATTTGCTTGCTTGAACTGAATATAATTGCCGATAACACGCAATGAAATTTTTACGTCGCCTCTTTTAAGCCTTGCAATAACGATATTTCGTGTTTCAGAAACTTAGAAATTGGGATACCTATATTCCAAGCATCATCATCAACCGAAATTTTCGAAGCAAAACCGGGAGTCCTGAAAGGTGTAGACAAGGTTAAAAGAATAGTAGCGTCCGGATCAAAAGAAGAAATCCAAGGAGAACGAATGAAAAGAACAGCTGCACATAGGTATCTCCAGTGACCGGCGGACCGGCCAGAGTCCCAGGTGTGCGCCGTTTCATCCGAAGTTCGAACAGAGCCCTGCCAGCCAGCCGGATCACGTGGTACCCGTGTGTGCGCCCGCGGTACCGCCATGTACCCCTGGTACCGGGACAGTGTGCCGCGATCGAGTACCACCACTGGGTCACCACCGCCGCTCGTCAAAGCAGAGGACTGTTCATACGGTGACTGTATGCGGCGGTGTCACAACGATGGAGCGAGACAGGTCAGTTCAGTTCATACATAGCAGATAAAATGTGATGGAAGATAAAAATTACATTTTTCTTAATTAATCTGTCTAATCAAAATAATTATCAATTCAGACTCATGTAAGGTCAGACATACTATAGGTATAGTCTATATAACACTGCATTTATCGAATGCAGGTAATGCAGAATATGATTTCCTATAGCGCTGGACCAAAGGTTTGAAACGTTGTTGAGTCAGACGGAACAGCAAACACATATTCTGGGCCTGTTATGTATTCCTGAGTGTATTGTACTTCATATTTGTGCCACATGTGCACGCACATTTTATGCACACAGCACGTTCATAAACATTTCATTTATCTCTCGCATTCATATGATAGAATGACGGGATAATCATTGACACTTCACATGCTTATATACAATCACTATCCCTCATTGTCGACTCAAAACTTAAAAAACATGAAGATACTATCGTAGACCAAATTACAAATTATTCATCTCAAACCCTTGTCATATGCCTAATCACATCACATAAAACTAATAAGACGAAACAAAACAAGTAAATACACGGTGCCTTCACTATTACACAATGGTCAACAACCTCCACTGTATCATTATACAGGGCTAATTAATGTCAATTGGCTAATCTGTCTATCAGGCTGCCTAGCAGGTGGCTATGGTTGAAGATGATTTCTACTGAGGTAGATCGGTTAGAAGCTGAGCTGCAGTCGCATACGACTCGCTCGCTCAATATGTTCTATAGATAACTACCGCACATATGGAAACTAAATACAAAGTCATCTGACCGTCGCCTTGTGCACAGATCTTTAAAGTTTATCTTGACGCAGAGATATAGTGGGTATTTGAGTTGTTCTAGTTGCTCTTATTTCGGAACAGTTAAATAAGTCTTACATGATACAATTCATGTGGCCATGCATAGCAAATGCATGCTCAGTATGAGCGGACTCAGCTACATCCATAAATATTTAATATGTCTTATAATATCTGATCAGTGGTCATATTTCTATACATATTGCATGAGAGAAAAGTTCCAGATAATCGCTCGACGAATGACGAATTATCGAGTGCATCCCCATAAATGGAACGTCATGACATGCCTACTAAATTTGCTTCTGCAAGGGTATATTAGTATGAAGTTACAAAATAAATGTTTCAATTATAAATAAAGATTGAGACTCAACCAAGTAATGGCCAGCAACTGATACAACAAATGACTCAAGCCGATTTCCTCCATTTTATACAACGCGCTTGTACATACCATCGCGCTGGTGAGTCACACATTACGAGCTACACCAGTGCTTCAAAACAATGTTACCATACACGATCTCGTATTTCCATGTCACAGACAGGGTGTCCATAGTCTCAGTTACGCGATATTCACTGATACACGCCACCTCGACCATTATCGTCATTGTAAGACTGATTATATTTACGGCAGCACATTTCGTCCGTCCTCGGGTCGGTCCTCAAAACACTACACACATTTGTGCTTATATTCATTCATGCTACAATACGACCGTCTGTCACTTTTTCATGGCATTTCGTCATGCCACATCAGTCACGAGTCAACTCATTCATAGCGCAGGCGCTATAGCTGGTTGCAGTGGTGGGATCAGAGCACATATCCTCCTCCCATCGGAGTTGCAGAAGAGATGTAGATGCAGGCTCTCCACGGTTTCTTGGCACTTGCACTACTCTCAGCGGCAGAGGCAGCCGTAATAGTCGCGTAACTACATATGAAGTTAAACAGATCATGTGGACCAGAGCCCAGAGACCGTGACATCAGAGACCGTTCAGCGTAACGTCCTTGGCCAATGGTCAGCGACCAGAGGGGCTGGCCACTGGTGTCTCAGAGCCATCACCTGGCTCCGAGGACCGAAGGTCTGGGCGCTCACCACTCCAGACCTGAAACAGAAAGAAACTGTCAGTGGTGACAAATGACAAAGGTTTACCATTACGGCCAGTACGGCGAAGTCTTTCTTTGTCGTGAGGATTGAGCTTGTCGGTGAGGGAATATGCTGCCGAATAACAAGAAGCCAATACAATAATTATTTGCGAGACACCTTTTTACGAATAGACGATGAAGATTAAAGAATCAAGGCCTGTTTGTAATTGTAATTTGTCATCAAGTATGTTGTAGGTTCTGGATAATTTATCAGCACCAAATACTTCTTTTATGTCTCTGAATCCAATACACCCACGGTACAGTGGTCCACTACATAAAATTGATTGATAAGCTACATAAAATTGATAAGCTACATAAAAACACCGCTGCTCAATCAGCCATACTCCTTGAATGGTTACTTAAACACAGCGACTGCCCTTGCACACTGCGCTGACCTAGACCGTGGCATTAGAACACAGAGGTGACCCAGTTCAGACCACCGCCTCCGGCCGCCGCGGCGCGCCGCCGGCAGCCAGTGCGCCGTTTTTTGCCGCAGTTGCTATCGATTGCTGTTCAGGTCGCAAGAGCCACGCGTTTTTGCTCGCGCTGCGGCCTGCGCGGCAAAAAATCGGCGATCAATGCCAGCCTGGCGAATGCCGGCAAAACGACGAAACTGGGTAAATGAAGGCGGCAAGAGAGAGAGAGAGAGAGAGAGAGAGAGAGAGAGAGAGAGAGAGAGAGAGAGAGAGAGAGAGGGAGGGAGGGAGAGGGAGAGAGAGAGAGAGAGAGAGAGAGAGAGAGAGATAGAGAGAGAGAGAGAGAGAGAGAGAGAGAGAGAGAGAGAGAGAGAGAGAGAGAGAGAGAGAGAGAGAGAGAGAGAGAGAGAGAGAGAGAGAGAGAGAGAGAGAGAGAGAGAGAGAGAGAGAGAGAGAGAGAGAGAGAGAGAGAGAGAGAGAGAGAGAGAGAGAGAGAGAGAGAGAGAGAGAGAGAGAGAGAGAGAGAGAGAGAGAGAGAGAGAGAGAGAGAGAGAGAGAGAGAGAGAGAGAGAGAGAGAGAGAGAGAGAGAGAGAGAGAGAGAGAGAGAGAGAGAGAGAGAGAGAGAGAGAGAGAGAGAGAGAGAGAGAGAAGAGGTCACTTTGTATTTGGAAGGGGCAATAATTTTCTATACCTACCTTTGATATCGTAAAAGAGGTGTGCTCGTATAAGCTGTTAGAGCACATGTCAACTACTTTGAAAAAAAAACAGCATTCCTATAAAATAACCATCTTGTGCGGCATTAGAAAATATCTATCTTGAGCACGACCATAGCTAAGAGAAGGAGCTGAAGCCTCCGAGGTCTCAGGCTAAGACCGCAGTGAGGTCAGCTGCAGACTGAGCCCACAGAAACTCGACAGCACTCGCAGTCGATTATCCCTCCGTGCCACCTGGCCCCTCTGATTTGACGATAACTCGAGACAGCTCGCTATTGCCGCAAGTGTTTGCTATATTTATGTTTACCCACAGCGAGCGACTCATCAGCGCACGTCCTTGCTCCCAGCCTTATCATCTTATGTGACGGTGGTTAGAACGATATGCTGCAGAAAAATGTCTGTTGGCTTCTACTTTTACTTTTAAACGTTTACTATCATCAATGCGACATCGCTGTTCCAGTTTCAAGCGCAGTCCCGGTCAAATTACTTGTTCCAATGTGACCTATAGCCGCCTATGACAGGGTTGCCAAGGAGCCTATCGGCCTCCCCACACCCCGACCTGGTATCGCCTCTGTTGGCACGGCCCCACCTCCCGGTCAATGGCCGCTCTGCAAAAACGGCCGCAAAAAGACGCACAAAAAGCGGCCCAGCGGCGGTAAAAACGGCGCTCCGGCCAGCGAATCGAGGTCAGGTGGCGCAAGATGGCGTCCGAGTGCGCTGAGTCAGGCGGAGGGATTCGGGGCTGCGGCAAGGGGCGCGCCAAGCCCCGCGGTACATAGGCGGCGGAACGGGGGTGGCACCGGGGCACCGTGTCCCCCTTTGATTTTGGCATTTTAACATTAGCCCTATGGGCGTTGCATGGGAAGAATGGGACCAAAAGCCGGCAGTGCCCCCATCCCCCTTAACTGAAGGTGTTCCGCCGCTACTGCCGCGGTATGACACCACGTGGCCCTGTTACAGTGTCTCTGACATCGTCCTTACTTACAACTCCCTATCTGTACCTTCCTACCTTATGGGTACCTATCGAATGCTCGGAACTGGGTTGAATTCAGGTCGTGGCCAGTTTTGCCAGCAGAAAAATCGTCATGTGAATTATTTTTTGTTTAAAGTAACTCTTAAATTCCGCCGAAAGTCGCCAGCCGAAAAATATGCCGATCGGAAAAAATAATACCTTTTACCTACCTAACCAAGCCAGCCTAACTGATATGTTTTCACATCAGTGCAGTGTGTTTATTTTCAACTTTGTTGTGGCTGGTTTAATTTATGAAATGCTTTTATGGTTAAAAACGGCAGCCGGCGACTTTTCTTTTGGTAAAAATAATTGGGGTAAGAACAGTGTACACGTCACACGGCTACAGTGCTCCTGTTTCTGAGTTAGCGATTGCCGATCTGTAGATGCTCCTCGCAAGCATTGAAGTGGAAGAAAAACTCCTTTATTCTTACGTCCCATAGAAGTCTCGCAACAATTGCTAGGGCTGTTGTCGATGCGATTTTTAGTGTTTTTTGACTCAAAATCAACACCCAACTAGCAATATTGGTCCTGAGAGTCAGATTCTCAGCGCCCGCCGGGCAAAGGACCACCTCTTCCCACCGTTCGCAGTCGGTCCGCGCAGGACCAGTCCTCCATCTTCGCCGGCCGGCCGGCCGCCGGCGCCGCCTCCACTCTCATTGGTCAATATCGGGCAAAAAATCACCAACACGGTCTGCCGCCCGGCGGAGGACGAACGATTTTCCCCGGAGGCCCCGCCCACTCGCTTACGTCACGCGTCAGGCGTGACGCTGGTGGCTGCTCGACCAATCAGAGGGGAGACTGCCCGGCTGAAAAAATACACTCTCTAGCAGCGATACCACGTCACAAAGGAAACACCGCGCGCGGGTGGCACGGCCGACGGCGCACAGCGGGAGAAGACGGTGGGAACGAGGTGCTGGGTACGATTAATAATAGGGCGGATAAAATAAAGTTAACCCGCGCCCCACTGGGGTCTGCGTATAACACGCCCTACTGGGGGGGGGCTATTCATAGCCCCCCCTCCTAACTCCGAAACTACTGGGCCGATCGTCAAAATTCAAACGGCGTCTGATAGCCCCGGAAAAACTGTCGAGCGAAACCTAATTTCATTGACCTCGAGGTCACCGATGACGTCACAGGTCAGGTCAAAGTAAAAATTATTAGCATTTTGGCTTGATCACGTTTTGGGCTCTGGCCGCCGTCTTACAGGTCAGATCAGGCTCATTTTTGGATCACACACTCGGGAACAGATGCTCTAGCTACCCTGAGGGTACCAAATTTGTACTTTGATTTTCAGGTCAAGGTCAGGTCATCACAGGTCACGAAAATATTATATCATGCGTCGGTCACGTGACACATGTTTTATGGTCCATTTATGTCAGAGATTTCGAATTTGATGTCGTCTGTGTCATCTGAGGTCATTTTGAGTCGAATTTAGCTTATGTTAGGTCACTTTCAGGTCAAAAAAGGTCAAATTTTGAAGTTAAAATTTTTCAACAAAAAAGGTGTCTATTGGATGCAGTTTGAGCTCAGGAACACGATGGTGCTATTTATATTGGCGTACGATGTCAAATACGTGCTGAAAAATTGATTTGAAAAATTAATAATTGTGAATTTTTTGCAATAATGCGTAAAACTTGGCCATTTTTGAAGATATTTAGCTAAAACTTGCTAGAGTCAGTCATATTAATGCGTTCTATCACATATATTCCGGTTTTTTCGAAAAGTCAAAAACTTTTTGAAAAAAAGGTAAAAATATAAATTTTGGAGATTATTATATTAAATTTTCGAAATTTTCAAAATTTCGAAAATCCGAGATAGCAGTTTGATAGCGCAGTCAATTCTGAGTCCTCTCATGCAAAGAAATTGGATCTAGCATAAAAACTGAGCTCTTGGGAGCGATTGCCGTGGTTCAATGTTTTGCGTCGAAATCGGCCGAACATGACGTCACTCTGACGTCATTTCCGGCCGACCTATTGTAGGTACGAAGTTCAAATTTTGACACAAGGTGTCAAATTGATGCAGCCTAAGGTACTGAAAGTTTGGCGTCGATAGGTCAAGCGGTTCCGAAGTTATTGCAGAAAAACGGGAGGGGGGGCTATAAATAGCCCCCCCCCCAGTGGGGCGCGGGTTAACTGATATATCACCAGGTAGAATTATAAGTCAAGGTAGTGTTTCATTTTATAGGAATAAGGGCGAAGCATGGCATTGCTTAGCCGACGGAATCTCGTTTTTATTGAAGAAAATATGTTTAAGAATAATAAGCCTTTACTACATTTTACAACTCATGGGGTAAATCCCCCATGCCGCTGGGTGAGCATTATCCCTCACAGTTTTCCAGCCCCGTTGATATGTAGGGCAGCAGTAATCCTCCGGGGATAAGAACCCCAGTAAAAAGCACGCTCACTCAGTTGGTAAAAACCCACAGAGGACGGCAAAACCGGGGGACGGATAGCCGTAATCGCAATGCAGATATCGAGTGACCCAGATTGGCTAGCGACCGGTAGGCGGCGGCGGAAATGGCGCGAAATTATGGCGCCGCACGAGAGCCGAGCGGCGGCGGCAAAAACGCAATTATCCCCACAGACCTGTTGTTTCGCTTAGCTAATGTAAACAAAGCGAAAAGCTTGGAGTTCATCGAATGGGGAATAATAACGAGTGCGCGTGTGACGCAACTTTATTGTCGAATAGTGTGACTAATTGTGTGACCAATTGCCTGTCAATTAGTAATAATGATAAGTTAACGTTATACCAACCAAATTACAAGAATGCGCTAATTTGCCTAAGTGATGTTATTTGATTTATCATTATAAAGAAAACGTTCATGCATATGTTACATGTGTGTTACCTTCCACGTAGCAAAAAGAGCCAAAAGAGGTGATCATTCCGTGGAAGATCATTCGCGCGTAGCAGGAAATGTATGATGAGAACAGCTTTAATGCGCCTTATTCCAAACTCAAAGCGTCTAACTTCCCATGACACCAGAGCACAACCCATTTCCCTGGGCCAGCTGGCCTGTTGCCAGACAGCGCTAAACCAGCACAGCGTCGGAACCAGTCCAAACAAACGGAGACCGGCCCGGCCGCGGCTGAGAGACGCCGGCTGTTCCTCCCAGTTTGATTCAGAGGCGCTGGCAGCCTGTTCTCTCCTCTCCTCTTTTTTTCTCTCTCCCTCTCTCTCTCTCTCTCTCTCTCTCTCTCTCTCTCTCTCCCTCTCTTGCTCTCTTCCTCGATAGTCGATAGCTAGAGCGACGGCTCAGTCAGTGGCGCGGGAACTTCTTCCAGACTGGGGGGGGCTGAACCATAATAGAGATCAACCTAGGGTACCTCCAAATCTAGTTTTCTCACCGGTTTTAGGCCACTTATTTTTCAGACCTTGGCCTTTTCAACAAAAAAAGAAAATATTTGCAAAAAAGTCAGGTATTCCGTCTCAGCTGAGTGAAGAAACTACCGTTTTGGCAGCCTGGAATAAAGGTTTTAATCTGCCAAATGAGTTGCCGAGCCATTGAAAGAGGTGGATTTTTCACTTAGGCCTTCTTCCTTTGTGACCCACAACCCCTAATTTGGGGAGGACAAGCTGCCCCAACGGTTCCTGACCTCATGAAAAGTTGTGGGGCACCGCCCCCACGGCCCCAGAGGCCAGAGCTGTGGGGGCAAGCTTCCCCAACTGCCCTCTCCCCCGCTTCCCGCGCCTATGTATGAATCTATGAAATTTGTATGTAGGTAGATTTCCGATTTCGATTCCTCCAGCTGGGGGGGGGGGGGGGCTCAAATACATTACGAGCCCCCCCAGCCGAAAAGTTGGAGGGGCTCAGCCCCCGCTAGCCCCCCCCCCCCCCGGTTCCCGCGCCACTGGGCTCAGTCCTTTGCGTAACAGCTTCGTTCTTCTTGACGAATGTCGAACCCTAACCAATTGAAATAATTGATGCAATGCCAACGCTGGTGAATCCCAATTATGACATTTCAGGGAGTAGTTTCAGTGACAGCTCCGTGTAGTTAACTGCAATCATCTCAACTCCAATATGAGGCGAGCGGTGACGCCCCACGACGCCGGTAATCGTCGACAATTAGCCGCCTCCACGACAGGGCACCCTGCGCTGCCCGTCGGCCGGCGCGGCGGTCGGAGCCGCCGCCGCCGCCGCCGGCGCAGGACGCCCAACATGGCCGCGCAAAAACGAGCGCAAAAAGCGCCTGCAAAAAGGTGCGTTTCGGCGTTGGCCGCGCGCGCGTGACCCTCCGGCGCCCCGCGGTACCCGGACGAGCAGACGCAAGAAGCGGCGGCCGCCGGCGGACGCAGTCTGTACAAGTCCTTCGACAGAAAATCGCCCCGAAAAAGTGGTCACTAGTGCGTGTGAAGCTGAGGAGTGAGCCGTCCGAGGGAGAGTTATGGCCGAGGGAGGTGTGATGTGGTCCGAGGATTACCAGCAGGAGGTGTGGCAGCAGCCCGCCGTTCAGGAGCAGGAGCGGGGCGGACAGACGCCTCCTGAGGTACGGAGAGTGGCCTCCTGAGCCGCATGGACCGTGAGTGACCAGCGACCGACCGGTGGTTGGCCCCTATGTGAGGATAAAAAGAGTGGTCTATCCGCTGCATCGATGTGCACTTTTGCAGGTTTTCCCCAGAAATCCACCTTTAGCAGCTTTGTCAATAACCCATGGAGCTGCCGATTCCGTCCTAAAAGTCATGGTTATTTTACGGTGCTCCGCGTTCAGGCCCTTGTGATACCCCCAGTCGTTTTTTACCCGTGATACCCCAGTCCTAAGTTCGAATGCGAACTTAGGAATACTTGCAAGTGTGATGTTGGGTGCAGGGCACATCCGTAGGAACTAGGAACGCACGATTTACAGGTATTCTTTCCTTTCTTTTTACTTTTTACCATTGATAAGTGTTTTTGCAAATATGGAGGAGCAATGCAAACGTATCATGCATAGATGCAGGGTTGCTGTTCAGTCTGGACAACATCGTCTGGATCTGTTCAGTCTGGATCGAAGAAGAAGGGCAACTCTTCAATCACAACAAAAGGCGGTGCAATTGACATCTCGTTGAACCTCCAACCCAAAATAAGATGACAAATGTAGGAAAGCCTCATGCTCAGTCCATAACAAGTAACTAGTAAGTTGCTAATGCTGACCCCAAAGTCACTGTTTCGCCCCTGGCGACGACCGTCGGTGCTGCCCGGCGACCGTTGGCCTCTTCCCACGGTGACGTCACATGGGCTGCCATATGGGTGGTTTTTGTCCCGGTGACACAAATTCCTTCGGATCGTGTGACACGCGGCCTTCAGCCGGCAATGACAGTGGTATGCGCGGTGGTCATTGAACATCGTTGGCCCCGTATGAAAACCAGGCCAACGGGGAACAGTATCATGTAATTATAAGAGCAATGACTACTGGCAAACCTCCACCGTATAGATTTGGATAACATATGGACGGTTCTTTTTTGTATTACCTACTAAACCCATTCGAAATACAAATTTTAGTACATTATCTGCTAGAGAATGCCATGAACGCAACCTGTTCAAGAAATCACACTATTTTCAGTTTGCATCGTTTTACACTGACCTTTTCTGTAGACACGTAGCGGTTCATTCTGCCGTCCGTGCTGAGTAGAGCAGCCGGAAGCGTTTGACCATGCCATCAGAGGCGGCCGAACCGAGGTCAACGCTCAGCCTCTTGGGGTCATTTGAGCCTCTCTGCTGAAATTCTCTCCGAGTTGTCGGACCGAACAGCCGAGACTGAAATGCCGCACGACTCGCTCGCACGATTTCGAGCCTTCTGCCGAATAAATGGAGGAAAGGCTTTTGTCATCGCCAGCATCATTTTCCAACGAAGGAAACAACAGCTACCTGTAGCGATGACTGTAAACGGCGCTAGTTACTGCATCTCTCTCATCACCGCCGACATGCATGATCATTTTCCGTTTGTCTCTCGTTCTATTAGGAGCGGAACAGCGGTGGTTCGTGATCCACCTTCAGGCCCTGGAGTAGGTATGGCGAAAATCGATAGTTATGAAGTGGAATAACGCCGGACATGCTGGACATCCTAAATAAATCGGCTGAAAACGTACAAATATTCGTATAGGTATACCTACCCTATACATACATGGCGAACGATATTTGTCACAACGTCAGTTTCGGTTTCATCACTTTCACTAAGCTTCGTTGCTTGCGTATAAAAGATACATGCATAAGGATGCTAACTGCTAGGTATGCATTTCATTTTTGTGGTCGGGCCCCTTCATCCCAATAGTTAAAACTGTGCGGGTTCGCTGCACTAAGGTCGCATTGGGTCGTCGGAGCTTTTGATTTAACTCCCGGTCAGGGTGAGTTAGCACGTCGAAAAAGGTAGGTGCCAAGAAATTCAGAATTTTAACCCTCGCCGGCCGAGGGGGGGGGGGCGGGTGCCGCCCCCCCCATAGGGTTTTTTTCGCGATAGCTCCGAACACGCTGGCGATAGAGAGCTGAAACTTGGCATACCTGACCTTTGATCCAAGCCACATCTTTTGACACCAACCGCATTTTTGGGTCAGGTCAGGTCACTGACCTATGACGTCATAAGTGAACCTCTGCACGGTCTTCAGATGTCGCAACTTCGCAACGCCCTCACTGCCAGACGAGATGTCACAGGGAAATGAAACTTGCAGGATCTAGTATCCATTATGAGTCCCACAACTTGTATATCTCGGATTTTTCCTAAAGGTCATATGAGGTCAGGTCATTTTCGTGACCTCACCATTATAAGTCAATGGGGAAAAATGAAAACTGCTATTCTGGCGCCGGGAACGATCTCCAACTATCTCAAGCACACAGAATCGTGATTTGATGCACTCCTTGCAAGGTTAGATGCGTCACTTTTGCAATGTTGACCTTGCGTGACGTCATTTATGACGTCATCAAGGTCATATTAGTTTTTCGTCAATAACTCTTGATCAAATTGAGCTAGCGAGTCGGGAAAGCCACCAATGGACTCAGGAAGGCCTGCCGAATCGAATGATATGCGACATGACATCTTTCGACCAACTTCGTGACCTGGGGGTGCTGACCTGACCTTGACCTGAGGTCAACACCCCAAGTTGACCTGACCCGGACAAAAAGTATATCATTCGACGCGCCTGAGCGAGGCGAACACGATGCTGCCAAAATCGGCGCTCTGCGGCCGTTTTTTGCGAAGTTATTCACCAAAAACTGAACCGTACCTTGGGGCACTTGACCTGACCTCAGAGGTCACCGGTTGACCTAGGACCTTAAAATCGGGTACCAATCTCTGCGTCTCGTAACGGCGCACACGCTCGTTTTTTCCGCGACGCGCTAGCTCCACCAGGGGCGAAACGGCTAGGGGGGGTCGTACCCGCCCCCCCCCCCCCCCCTCGGCCGGCGCGTATGTAGAAAACCAATAGGTCCGGCGAGGGTTAGCTTGTTCTGCTCCGCTTTTGGCAAAGGTAACGTTTCACCAAAAACCGGACCTCAGTCAAGGGTTTCAGTGGGTAATTGAATGCGACTGAAACCCTTATAACCCCCCCCCCCCCTCCCCCCACACACACTCGAATGGGGCGGTTGCATTTGATGCAAGGCTGACAACTCGATCGTTCTGACAGCTAACAACTATGTATAATGTCCGTCAATCTAGCAGTGGATTGGTAGTTGTGAATCTGCTGCTAGCGGTTATACGTCCAGACGGGCTGAATATACGCTCTGGCAGCAGATTCGTCATCATCGCCGAATGTCTGTCTTACCGGCAGCAGATTCAGAAATTCACCGACCCCGGATATACTGCTACCCGCAGCGGGTTCGTCGAACGTTTGTCTAGCAGTAGATTCGGACCGATAGATACCTACCGTAGACAATTAATATCGCAGAGGAGACAGCGGCAGCATATTCGCCAGTCTGCTGCTGAGAATGGATATGTTCGATTTATGACTAATTTATTTCAGTGCCTATTAACCCGCGCACCGACGGGGGTCTGCGCCAACTTCGCACCGACGGGGGGGGGGGGGGGCGGATGACCGCCCCCCCTGAGATCTCGAGAACGAAGCAAGATAGCGACAAGCGGTAAACGGCATCGGATACGCACGGTCAAGATCTACAATTTTTACTAAGGTCATTTTCAGGTTAGTTCAAAGATGACGTCACAGGGGTCGAAAAAGTCAAATTGGCTAGATATGGAGAGTTTTTCTCGAATAACTTTCGAATTAGTCAAGATAGGAACAAACTAAGGGCATTATCGTGATTCTCTCGTCAATCCGCATCGAATGATATATATGTTGACCTCGAAAGGTCAAGGTCAAAGGTTGACCTCAGGTCACGTGACCTCGAGGTCATCATGTATATCATTCGATGCGTCTTGACGAGCTGAACACAATGAGACCATCCACGTGTCTGTATCTTGTTCCTGTACGGAGTTTTTAGCCAAAAACCTTTGGTGACCTTTGATGACGTCACATGACCTCACAGCTTCCCAACAGCAAAACAGACCTCAAGGTAGTGAAGGTTGATCGTATATGAAGTCATGTATGGTATATGGGGCCATTCCGACCCGTTTTAGTGGTAAAAACAGGGAGTTGATTTTTCCCCCATTGACTTATAATGGGGAGGTCGCGAAATTGACCTGACCTTAGGTCACCGATATCAAAATTCCGAGATATACAAATTGTAGCTACTAATGACCTAATAACATCCTGCGACTTTCAAAGGCCTCCGACATCTACTGTAGCTCTGGCACGGTGACAAAATTGCAAAAAAGTGACTTGAGGTTGGGTCATTCAAAGTGACCTGGTGACCTGACCTTAAAAGGTAGGAGGTTCAAACCTGCACACCATGTGTAAAATTGATGAGGTAATAGTTGTACCAAATTTCGCGGCGCTACGCGCCGCGGTTTTCCCGCTATTCGCGAAAAACCTCAGTGGGGGCGGATATCCGCCCCCCCCCCCGTCGGTGCGCGGGTTAATCGATGATACTCTCTGATAATGAAGTGTTTAACGGAGGGATGCCGAGGACCAATAATAAGCTGGAGGGGGAATTCAAGCAATGTTTCAGGGACCTCACCCAAATATTTGGAAATTCGTGAGATTTGGAGCAAGAATATGCTTTACAACTTGGAGAACTGGTCCAAATTCAAACACGTGAAGCTTGCTTATAACAGCTAAAGCAATATGAATCTATGAATAAACGTTTGGTAATTATTGGCAAAGAACAGGTAGACGAAATAAGCCCTTTGGACTTGTTTATAAATGTAGCGTTAAACTTGGGGCTCAATGTATGAATTTTGAACGTGACATTCGTCCTAATAATAATAAGAAATTTCGGCAACACTTCCTGTGCCATTTAAGGCTTGCAAACGAAAAAAATACACCGTGATGGGAGGAGAGTGTCTCGCTGAACATGTCAAACAACATGTCAATTGATGATCGCTCAAATCGATAATCGCTGAAAAGACAGTCGCTGAAAATGGCTCGCTCAATAGACATTCGCTCAACCGACACTCGCAAGTCGCTCGCACCACTTTGACCTGACCTGTGAGTTGTGACATCATTGGTGACCTCGAGGTCAGTGAAATAAGGTTTCGTTCGGCATCAGACGCCCATGTTCAGGGCTATCAGACGCCGTTTGAATTTTGACAATCAGTCCGGTAGTTTCGGAAAGGGGGGGGGCTCCATGTTCTGTATAGAGCCAACCCCTCCCCCCCCCCCAAGTCAGCCGCGCTATGGAAAGTACTCCAATCATGCGCGGGTTAAAGGTAGTGTGCCAGCTTTCCTGGACCATATGGAGTTAATGGCCCAGATAAGGAGAACCGGATTTTTAGAACTTATCCCTACCTTCAAAACTCATGGAAACGTCTTGAATTCTTCGAATTTTGAGTACCCCAGTGCGAAATTCGCCCCGACGGGTTGTCGGTCGTACCCCAACCACATTTCACACCACTATGAACAACAAATGCACACACTGAAATCGCTATTACCGATTGACTCATCCAATCAAGTTTCGATAAACCCGTTCATCATCATCTCCTGCGGTTTCGAACACGCCTGTTAGGTGGTGCGGTAGACCGCGCCCAAAGCCAGGGCCCCGGTAACGTGAGGTAGGCGAGTCGGGGCAGCGTGCGCTGACCCAAGCCGGGGCCGCGCGTCCTCCCGGTGTCATGTGATAGCCCGGGGCTGCCCGGGGATGCGGTAGACCGCGCCCAAAGCCGCGGCTCCGGCTTGGGTCAGCGCACGCTGCCCCGACTCGGCTACCTCACGTTACCGGGGCCCTGGCTTTGGGCGCGGCTTCTGCTCATACTTTGTGGTGCGGTGGTGGTGCGTCGGGCCGCGCGCTCTGACTTCGGCCAAGAAAAATGCGTCAGCTGATCATTGTCATTTCTGCCACTTTCATGTGGTGAGATGGGGTCATAACTTTAGAAACTGCTGTTTCATATCAATAATTTTACATAAAATAATATTTCAAACCATAAATTAATGTTCGACAGCCATATTAAAGAAACAATACCAATACAGGCTTACAGTTTAAATTCGACATTGTGTTGTCTACGATAAGACAGCTGATAACTCATTCCCGTACGTCGTAACTATTATAGAGTTCAGTGGTCGTAACTCTATAATAACCCGGTTTACATAGCATATTTGACGAGGCTCTAGCTCGTTAATTCGGCGATGATTTCGATGCAGTGGTTTTCAAATATTTAGAGGGGATCATTTTGTAAATTGTTAAGCACCATTGGCATCTTTTGCAACATCACGGACGGAGATATAAAGCTTGCAACAAACCCTATGTAAACCGGGT